GTTTATAACGGCTGATGGCGCTAAAGAATATACTTTTAATTCTTATTTCAGTTGAAACATTAATTCAATCTTAACCTGGCAGAGTGCTGGATACCGTGATAATTAAATATGTACATAAGGTGGGCACGAATTCAGTACGATTTTACGGAAGAACTATGAGACAAACTTGTACTAAATCTACTTCATTGAAAATTTAGATAATAAAAGGACAAAAAATAAATCAATGAGGTTGGTTACATTTTCTTTGCCGAGGAGAATTCGTTCAAGAGCGAAAAATTACCAAAACATGACTAAAATTCTTTCCCCCGACCGACTGATAAAATTACATATTCAATTCCTCCAAGAGGTCTAGTGGCTGATCTTCCGACAATTTAAAATACATACTTTGAATCCCAATAACAAATCGTGAGATAGTTCCGACGTCGCTCGTGAAAACCGCGGGTGAATTTTTGCCCGTGGCTATTAGGCAACAGTGCAAGGTATTCCGTGGAAAGAAAGAAAAGGAGTGCACGGAGAGGAATCTTTTCAAATAAAAAAAGAAGCTACTAGCCAATCCAAAAACATCACCTACGCTATTCCCGCAGCCGCCGAACAAAGAAGTGATCGCAAGTGATCGTTGCCGGGTTTCCGGTTGGAGGAAATTCCACGGCACCAAGCCCACAGCAGACACGAAATGCCAATGGTCGAAGACCTCTACAGCCAAAAAATATTTTTCAGACAATATTACTCAGACTGGAAGGGGGAGGGAAGGGAAAAATTAAATATTAATCCTGACTCTCGTTAAGATCAAACAAGACTCCCTGTTTGTTCGACCCAAATGTACAATCGGCTAAGTACATGACCGAACTCTCGTGAGAATCAAAAATTGTCTCTTTTTAAGAAAATCCCCCCCCCCCCCCCCCCGACATCACCGAAAGATTGACGAAATATCAAATTTACTATCCTCATGAAGCGAACCTCGTTGCATTTATTGAAAACTGAGGAATTAAGTTGTTACTCTTCAAAATCTTCTGAAATTTTCCAGTTTAGATACAAAATACAACGAAATTTCAGAAAGAAATGACAAGTTGAGAGATCCCACCCCCGTGCAAATTTTCTGTGCTAACCTACTTAACTACTAACTTACTAAAAATTCGGTGAAATATTCTACTTGATGAAAGACGAAGAGGAAACTCGACATTTACCTGGTTCCTAAACCTATGACAATCCAACATTCTTAGACCCCCCCCCCACCAATTTCTTTCAAGACCGGCCACCCGCCACCCCACAAAATGCCATCTTAAAAAATCAACCACCATTAATGATTTGGAGAATCAATGCCCTCGGAAACAGCTTAAGAGTACAAAACCGGCACCATGGTAAGCGAGGGAGGAAGCGTATAGGTGGTTGGCGGCCGTGGCCGTAACTTTACGCGGGTCCTTGGCCATTCCCAGCGTCCGGTGGCCCCTTCCCGCTGCGGCCGGCCCCTGCCGCATGGAATGACATTTCAGGCCGCCGATCGGCTAGCAGGGACTTTCCTGGAATGCCGCAAGAAATGCGCATTAGCTCAAAATGCATCTCGGCCATTGCTGCGCTTTAAAGGGATTTTTCTCGAACGGCTTCTCGCTCGTGATAAAAACAAAGCCTACCAAAAGCTTGATTGAACTATTGGAGCCTAGATGCTAGTTTTTGAGCTTATTTTCGAAACCTCTTCTGTGCCTCGCCTCTTAGGAGGTTTTGTGGCTGAGGTCCATCTTGTACATGGACTAGACTGCGGTTAAGGTATCACATTCCCTAAGGTCATAGAGAAAGAGTTACAAAACCAAATTCTTAGGATAACGTCTCGCCCTGCAGATGCACAACCGAAGCCCCCCCCCCCCCCCCCCCCCCCC